ATTAGAATCTGTGGACTGTTGAACGCACCAGCAGATATAATAACTTCTTTTCTTGCCTTTATTACATGTTTTAAGTTGTCTCTCACAAGTGAAATACCCACTGCCTTCTTCTTTTCGATTAAAATCTGAAAATTTGAATCTAACTGATCTATATCTTATTAGAACAAGACCAAAGATGATACTTTAAGTAAACTAAGACAATGCTTGAGAATATATAAATGAAATCTAGAAAGCGTTACCTTGGTAACATAGGAGTTCACTGCCACGTGAAGATTTGGTCGGTTCATAGCAGGTCTGAGAAAAGCTTTAGCAGTACTCCATCTTTCCCCGTTTCTGATCGTTTCTTGTGCGTGACAGAAACCTATACATAAATTCAAAGAATATTTTAAACGCCCGTGACAGTTAGAAGTCTTTGTCAAGAGAATGAATATGACACACTCGAATGTTTATCAAAGGAAATTTTTACTCTAGTTTTATTCTTGACCATTTTGTCCTTGTAAATGATTGGTTAATTTAGCATATAATTTAGAATAGCATCCCAAAATTACACTTTTTAAGGGGGCAAAATCATCTGCAAGTTAAGGGTCGTAAAAGCATGGGTTAAGATAATTCTCAATTCAGTATTCTTGAAAAGATATATAGCGTTATATATACACACAGTTTCGTTTCATTTGATATTACATGTATTATTGTATACTAGTTTGGATTAAATATGTATCGGACCTATTTGGCTTTTCCCATTGCAGTCTACAACAGAGTAACCTTGCTCCTCTAATCCCCGTCTATACACATCGCTCAGAGGAGTAGCTGTTCCATCACTCACTGTCAGTGGACCTCCTTTTCCATGGTAGGCTACAGGAGAAATCAAACTTGAAAAATGATTTATGAAAAAAAAAATAATAGTAACTTCTTTTCCATTTTTCATTGATAAATGCTTTTATAAGAAATTTCCTATCTAATTAAAATTAGATGTTAGATCCGCTCGCATACTCGCTTATCTAACATCTAACAACATCCCATAAAGAGGCAAGTCAGAGGACAAATTCTATCAACCAATCAAATCGTTGCCTACAAAATATTTGTACATATCTTGAAGCTGATATGTCTAGAGTTGTTCCTAATTTGACCTCTGACGTGACCCTATATGGATGCTGTTAGATGTAAGTGTAGCGAGTATGTAAGTGTAGCGAGTATGTGAGTGGATCTAACATCTTATTTTTATTAGATTGAAGAAATATCTTGACCAATTTGATACAAATAGAATCCTACACTGATTTTATAGAAATCAACAATGATACTGCAATAAAGTGTTTATACGTGAATCTTTTAGTGTTGGTATTTGAATATCCTCTGACTTAATGAAATATGGTAGAATATCCTTGTAGCTCCATCCTTCGGCACCTTCCTGTTCCCATCCATCAAAATCATGGCGACTGCCTCTCATATACACCATATAGTTAATGGAACTGCTCCCACCAAGAACTCGCCCTCTCGCCTGAGCACTTCTCTGTCAAAATTGAAATGATTTTTTTTAACTTTTGCTTTTTACCAACTTGTTATAACTCGGAATTTCCTATCAAAATATGTTTTTTAACAGAATTGATTAACTAGTTGTCAAAAATGCAATCAAGATCAATGTTGAGACCAAACAATTCCTATGATATACATATATACTTTATTACAGTAGGAAGATATTTCAGTTATTATCAAACCTTGTCTTTTAAACCAAAACATGCGTTCTTTTGAGGGACTGTTCTGAAGGCCCAGTCTTGTTTCGTATTTTGCAAACCTCCAGCTGTTACAGGAATATGCATAATTTTCTCGTTTTCTGATCCTCCGGCTTCTACTATTAGTACGGAAGACCCTAAATCTTCAGAAAGTCTGTTAGCAAGAACACAGCCGGCTGAACCTGCTCCAACTGAAACATAACCAGTTAAAGACAGAAAATGTTTGAGTCTTTTAGAAAAAAAAATAACTATTGGACGACCATTTAAGAACAGAAAATTCTCTACTTAGGATATAACCTTCGTAAATGAGCACTATTTATTGGAATGAGAGATCATCAAGGTATTTAAAAATGATAAGTGTTAAATTGAATTGAAGTATCATGAGTATCATACCTATTATATAGTCGTATGTGCTGTTAAAGACGACGGTTGCTTCTTCATTGGTTTTGTGTTTCGTATTCATGAAGTAATACACAAAAACGGCAAATAAAACCACTAACAGAGAAAGTGATCGATCCATACCTAATTCTGAGTAAAAAACAAATTTATCCTTCCTTATGTGATTAAAAAGATTGCGATTTTCAAAAATATCGTGACAATGTTCCTAATAATTTATTATAAACATTCCACCATAATAGTAATATTTTTCATAATATGCAATTTCGTTAAATAGTAGATTCTTTCATAGTTATATTTCAATGAAGATTAATAAAAGCAGTATGGTCGTAGCTTCTATATTAAATATATATCAAATAAAATTTTTATTTTTGTAATAATTAATTTAAAAAAAAACATAATTCTGCGTTTTTGTATTTATTTAAAAGACATCAGAGTCACAAGGTTTGCAATGCAATTCAATAAGCAAACTCCTTATACAAACTCATGCATCGGATGTCGTAAACTATATTCATATCGCTCAATGCTATATTTGTAATGTTATTTGTCCCAGTCAAAACGAAATAAGATATATGTGATATAGCAAGGTTAAACTTTAATTAATTACTATAGAAATTCTTCATTGTGATATACATGTAAGCTAGAGATTCAAAAACACGTTCACCTCAGCATCGAAAATAGGAAGACTTAAAAAAAGTAGTTTTTTATTAATGAATTCAAGCGGTATAGCTTTTCAGGATCGAAAATTTTAAACGGAAGATAGGACAATGCTAAATTGATGCCTTTTCCTAGGTTAAAATAAAATTCCCATAGTATCAATCGGATCCCCATTTAAGGTACATGACCTATGCTTGTACTCATCATATACATAAAATACATACTCAGCTGGTGTTTATTTAAAAAATAACCATCTTATTTTTCGATTTCATGATGTGATCAATCGATTGGCTTGCGTGATAATTTTATGCATAAACGCCTTCTGCGTTTATGCAAATTATCTTATTTGCTCTAATAAAGCTCTAATTTTCTAATTTGATAAAGTTGAATATAACAAATTGAATGTGTTATCCTAATTAAAAATATTTTAAGTTCGAATTCAAAATATTTGTTTTTAAATCCTTAACGGGGTTCCGGATAAAATTTAAGTCAAATCTAAATGCTGAACGAAGCGGTTGCGTATTTTGCAGCCGACTATCAATTTTGCAGTATTCTAAAATCTTATGAAGAAAGAAACTAACATATATCATTTGCAGATCAAACATAACAGAAAACAAATATAAAATGCTGAAATGCATACCTGCAGGATATTGCTATGGCATAAATCATTACGTACACAGTTATCCTGCGGCCTACTTACAAGTAACCTTTGTTGCTTTCGTTTTGTACGTATGTCAATAATCTTTAAAACATGCACAAAAAGCTGTTAGCAATCTGTCATGGTTTAGAATTGATCGTATATTAAACGCGTGCACTGAATCATTTAATAAGTTTGAAGGTGATAACAGAAAATTGCAGCAATGTCTTAAAAATATCATATTTTGTAGTATTTCGGCTGATATTTTCCACACTAATTCATTGGCTTTCATTTTTACGATGAAAAAGACATCTTTAAATTTACATATTCAAGAGATACTTTTATGATAATTGTGGATGGTATTGGCTAAAATGATGCATTTGAGCCAAAATACTGTGAGTACAAAACGTCACGAATGCGAATCATTTGTTCTTATTTTTTTCACACACTTCAAGTGCTGTTTCGAGTGCAATGAAATATACACGTCAATGACGCATCAATGGAGCCAACCATATATTTCAATTTTTGTTGCATCTAAAATCTCAATGTCTAGCTGCCTACTTTTCCATCTGGTATTACTACACAAACTGCCTGAACCAAACTGCAAATAATTAGAATGTAATTTTATATCGCATGTGATTAAAATATTTTGTTCAGATAACCAATCTATCTACCATGAACTCTGTCATATATTTTAGTCTTTATAATTTTTTTGTAAAGAGAGAAAGTACACATTTATGATCTTTTTTTTATTAAAAAGATTTGTATTGTGTTTTTCTTCAAATGAAAAACTGATATGTTTTTAGCCAATCTGCATTTAAGCCTTGGCAAATATTTCCAAATATTTCTGGGAGACTAATTAAAGTTATTGTCAGAAGCTGAAACCACGAACGATAATAACATACAAATCATAGTATAAAAAGCGTAGATCCATCGTGGGAAATGTTTCTTTTTAAAACGAAAACAGAGCTTTGTTTTGAAAATTTTCAGAAATATATGAGGAACTATTTCAATTTTTTTCATCCATTTTTTTTCCTTCGGAGACGTATTTCCTCGCGATCGGTAATAAATAGATCTTTGACTAAATATGATGATAAACGTCAGAAATAATGATCAAAACTCCACCGAAGCAAACAAGTAAGGTTTTTAGACACCAATAATACGTTTATGTAACAAGTAATAAAAATAATCAAATTAGATTTTCATTTACAAATGCTTTCTTTTTTGAAGAAACTTTTCCAGCTGTTCTTTGAAATAAGGTTTGAAAAACGAATGCATGCTCCTTTAATTTCCGATAAAAACTCTTTCAAAGCTAACACGAATCTGTAAGTCTATGTGCGCATGTTTATTCTCCAAGAATTAGGCAAATTCTTGTTTTCAGTAGTAAGGAAGTCCTTTAACATCATTTCCTCCCTGATTATCATTTTATTATTAAATATACTTCAAGCAGGGAATGCTAAATGATATCATTATGAAATTCAAACCTTGCTATTGAAGAAATGCTTAAAAGTAATTTTTCCTGTTGAATTTTAACGTTATATAGGTCCTATAATGAAAGTCAGCTGCACGACATCCATGCCGAAATGATCATCAATCTTCTGTGCCGCTTTGAAGATGTTCCTTTCCAGGTCTTTAAGACTAATCACTTCCTTTACCATAATCGCCTCAAACAGCATTACAGTTGTGCACAACGTATTAAAGATAGCGTCACTGCCATGAGGAAACAGTGTATTCCAAATCTCACCAGGAGGTGTAAAAAAGCCAATTCATTCACTATGAAGTTGATAACAGTAAGAATGAAAGCCATCTCAAGGGTAATGCAGCTTCTTCCAGAAGTTCATGTCATTCATTTGGTGAGAGATCCTCGACACGTCTTGCTTTCACAAATACACGTCGGCCAAATTGATAGAACGAAAATTGAAAATGAAAGTAGCTCACATTGCGAGATCCTCAAAAATGATATAAAGGAGACTGAATCGGATATTTATAGGAACAATTTTCACCGACAGAGGTATGAGGATCTTGCACACGATCCCATTGGGCAGTTTCAGGGTTTGTTTGAATTTTCTGGATTAGAATTTAGCGATGCAGTACTGTCCAGAATTCGAAAAATAGCAATGAGGACAGGAAAGGTGAAAAAATGTCAGTATTGTTCAGATAAAGGTGACGCAATGGTGGCTTCTGTTCAATGGAGAATTTCATCAAACTATTCCATTGTTCATGCAATCCAAGAGCAGTGCTTAAATATCATAGATAAACTAGGATACATCCCGGTCAATTCCGAAAAAGACCTGTATGACAAGAAGATTTCACTAACGAAATGGTAGAAAAGTGTTCAAAATGCAAGGAGAGAGAGAGAGAGAGAGAGAGAGAGAGAGAGAGAGAGAGAGAGAGAGAGGCACCACAAGAAGTTGAAGGGGTGGTCTTTGAATACTTAAGTCTTTCATGCACTTTTGTGCAATATTAGGTTTCATTTCTTACAGAATTTTGATTTATGGATTCGTATATAGAAGTTAAAGCCTTGCTTCATTTTTTTGTAATTAAAGACACATACCACAAACAAAATTATTGTAGTTAAGGACACATACCACAAACAAATCTTCCACACAGAAGAGTTACATCAAAATTGATAATTTTTCAATATCTCTTTCGATGGGAATCCAAATATAATGATAGCAGAAAAAGCAGCCGATATGATTTGAGGAATTGATAGATTAATCATTAATAAATACTCTTACAGAAGTTCAGAACAAATTAATATATTTACCATTGTTTTCGTATGTTTACAAAATCTGAAAATAAATTAATCGTTAGTTATTGACTTGTACATGTTTTTCATAAAACGAACTTGTTTGAAATTGCCTTTTACCTTCATTAGCAATCTATTCAAACACTTATTATAGTGTGAAACCAGTTTTTAAAATTTGATAATAATATAAAAAGATGCTAATTACACGAAACACGTGCCGCAAAGTATAGATTTATTGTTTTTAAGCTTCGTCATGGAATATTAGTTTTCATCGATGATATTTGATTTTCTTTCAATAATTGTTGAGAAGACTCAGTTCTTGTAATAATTTGAAAATTTCATATCATTTTATGAAGTAGTTTTTAAATAATTACATTTATTAGAGAAGTGTAAACACTTAGACGTTTTATTAAGTGTATATAACTCTCCAAGAAAGTTTGAGAATACAGATAGCATATCGGTGATTATTTTAGTTAAACATGTTATTCTATATATTTGATTATTATAGTTATACATGTTATTCTATGTATCTGATAACATTTATACGCCCTTCATTGTCAGTTACCCATGCATGTCCAGAGGGCTGAACAAATATGGATTTTGTTTGACAATCTGGAAATACGCCATTTCCGTAAAGGAATCGCAAAAAATATCCATCTTGGTCCAATATGTGGATGTTATTACTAATGATGTCACAAACAAGAATGAGTCCACTAGTATCACAATCAAGTCCACCCGGAGAGAATGTGTCAGGATTATGGCTAGTGTAACGAAAACGAAAATCGCCATTGTCACCAATAACGACGACAGCTTTTGCTCCTATATCTGATGTACAGAGATCACGGTTTATATTTTCCACAATCCACTCTGGCTCCTGAAACAAGATTTTACGTGGCATTTTTTTAACATGAGCATATTCACAGGTTTTCTTCTTAGTTTCAAGGTCATATGTGACAATTTTACCCCTGTTCCTGGCAAAACAGTACATCAAAACAACCATTTCACCACCAGTTTTTCTTATTATTAAATCTTTTGCCTGTAAACGATTGCGATTGGAGTCACTTTCCTCCCAGAAATTGCCTTTTCCCTCTAGATCAACACATACAATAGATTTGCCATTATGAGTAATGTAAAACACATGCTTTCCAACAGATGCTACCTTTCTTGGTGAAGTATCCCCCTCAATTTCGAATGGATATCCCTTCATGTTTACAGAAAGAATGTTTTTCTTATAATCATCGATCATTATAAATTCATCCGTGTTTAACCAGCAAATATCCTTAATTGAGTAATTTCTGTATTCATTTTCAATATTAAATTGTCTTTCTATGTTATGCAATAGTTTCTTTCCGGTATCTAGAATGTCGTATGTAAATGTACCAAACATTATGGAAAGTTTATTTCCGCTGGATAAGAATGGTTTGTCTGTTGAAAAACTTGGTTCTTCTTCTTCCTCAATTGTTCGGAGGTTCGTTTTCCATATTAAAAGACTCTTCAAACTTTCACTGCTATAGGGATCGTTTTCTACATTTTCTATTTCCCCCAAAAATTTGCTTACTCTCTTGGTCTTTATTTCAACGCTTCGTTGTAATTTTACTATGAGGGAGTGATATTCCTTCATTTTATCATCAATTGTCTTTACTGCATCATCAAAGTACTCATCAACGTCTTTATGAGTTTGGCTTCGATGTTCTTCAATTTTATTTTTCGTTTGTTCGAAATAGTGTCTAAAATTTTCTGATCGTTCTGTCAATACATTTCTCCTTTTTTCAAGCTGTTCTCTCATCATTCTCATAAATGATGTTCTTTGAAGCAATTTATCCCTTGTGGTGCTTATAGGGACCAGTGGATGCTTTTGACACTCCTCAGGTATATGTCTGGTACAGCAGTAATTACTGCAATCTAGGCAAAGAGCTATTTGATCATTCTCACATCTTTCACAATGAGGAGGTGTATAATTTCCTCTAGATCTTTTGTAATTCTTATAAGTAAATATGTAATGCATTGTTTCTTGTGGAGATAACAAATGTTCGATTGCACATTTTTTACATAATCCATAATGACACTCAGCACATATGTAGTAAAGTTCCTTTTCACAAGATCGACAAAGTTTTAAGCTTTGTTGATAACAGAATTTTGCAGGAATATGAAACATTATATTAAGGACTTGTATTGTATGTACATATAGACGTCACAAATGCCTGTCTTGAAAGATGGTATATAGATCTGTGAAAAATCCAAAAATTTTTTACGTAATGATAGAAGTTGTTTGATAAAGTTCCACCTAAACAAAAAGAATAAATACGCTATAAATAAATAAACAAATATTTAACGTGTAAGTAAATGAATAAAAAACTATGATTGCACATGTATTTGTAATCAGCAATCAAGTAAATAGTAAACTAGAGGCAGAGAGATATTGTGAGCGATGAGCTCACTAAATGATACCCCCCGCCACCATATAGTTATAATTGCAAAGTTCATATTTTGCTGTGGCCGGGAAACCCACAATATGTGTCGGATCAAAAAGTAAAATAGGAGGTGCACAATTGCAATATGTAATAAAGATTCTGTGAAAGTTTCATTAAATTTCCTTCAATGATATGAGAGGAGTTGCGGATAAGAGATTGGTACCCCAAAGCGTAACAGACGGACGGACGGACATACAGACGGACAGACGGAATTAACGATTACTATATACCCTCCCGCTTTTCAAGCGTGGTGTATAATGAACAGTACCATATTTAAAGCTAGCTATGTAATAGATATATATGGTACGCCAAATTCACAAAAATGAGATAAACCTAGTTTCACATTTGATAAACTAGGTTTATCGACCGTAAACTATAGTTAAGGATTCGTTAAGTATAGTTAACGATTCGTTAAGTATAGTTTTCATCTGTAAAACTATATTTAACGGCTGTTAACTATAGTTTACGAATGCTAATCTAAGTTTATCTGTCTGTAAAAAGCGTTAACAATAGATTTTGTTGATTAACATAGATTCACGTTTGTAAACTATAGTTTACAATCGTAAACAATAGTTAAGAGTTGTTAATCATAGTTTCACAAATCGTGAAACTATATTTATCAGATCGTTAACAATAGCTAACGGTTTGTAAACTATAGTTACAAATCGTGAAACTGTATTTATCAGATAATCTACGTTTTGCAATCGCAAATGCTTGATTTCGGTGTTAAGTATAGTTTACTGTTGTGAAACAAATTATCGCGTTAACTATGGTTTACAGATGTAAAATATAAATTAACGTTGTTAACTATAGTTTACAGTCCGTAAACTATAGTTTACAACCGATAAACCTAGTTTATCGATTGTGAAACTATGATTAGCTAATTTTTGTGAATTTGGCGTGCCATAGATATATGCCGAATACTGTTCTGTATGTTTAAGGAATTACTGTCTAGGTAGGAGGCTACGCCAGGGCATCAACAATAGTGGGAAACATGGGATAATTTTAGCATAGGGCGAAGCCCGTTATGCTAAAATTATCCCATATTTCCCACTATTGTTGATGTCCCTGGCATAGCCTACAGTGATTATTATTATCGAACTGGTTATTATTATTTTCGGACTGCTGCAGATAAATTTTTAGACTGCAAGAACAAAGGCATGACGTCTAAACAATGTTTAAAAACCTATACACATCTTTAAACATTCCTTTTTCAAATTTTAAGTAGATAACTCTCTGTTCACTGTCGCTCCTATCAATGTTGCCAATGCAATTTCTGTTGTCGAACATAATTAAAACAATTATATATCATAATGTACATGTATTATGAATGAAAACACTTAATAACTGAAATTTATAAACAAGAGTTCATAGTCGATAAGAAATGGATGAATTGATGAAAGGTAAACGAGTCCGTAAACATTAACTTTTCCAGATAATCAAATTATTCCAAAAGCACATGTACAATGGGAAATTTCAGAGGATTCTTCTATACATTTAGTCTGCGAGGGAAAACACCGTTTGAAAAAAAATCCTGATTTCAAATATACCATCCTGTATTTTGTTTTTGGACCTTATCTCCATATAAGTGTCAAATTGAATAATAGAATTTTGTAAGTGATGGGTGACCATAATGTTTTTTTTTTTAAAATAATTTGATGATTTACGAATTACTCCTGTAAAACATTTTTTAGGGGATAATTTTTCATGATACAGAGTATTCATTGTTCTCGAATTTATTTGTCTTTTTATCTTAACTTATCTTCCAATCTCTAGGCTAAATTTAGGTTTTAAAATACCCAGTGACCAGTTTTAAAATATACAGATTCGGCAAACACCCATGTACACTATTTTGAATGATACCACAGTATAAGATAGTTATCTAAAAGAAAGCTAAATAAAGTAGCTGATCGATCAAAACATTTGCAATGCCTATGTCTGAACGAAATCGGTTTTTACATGTTTATAAATTCCAACAAATATAAATTAAAAGAGAGGAAAAATCAAGGATGAAAAAGAAATCAATAGACATAAACTAACGATTTATTTCAAATTTTATTTACTTACCTTGATGCTAAGATAGACTAAACTGTTTTTTTTTTCATACAACAGAACAAGATCGAAATATGTGCAATCGATTGATCCTAAAACGGTGGTAAAATAATCTTGTCTGCATGTCTGCTATATTGTAAATAAAAGACAGAACCGGTTCAGAAGCGTTCAAAGAATAAGAAAATAGAGGTCGATGGGCCACATCGATCACCTGAGCTTTAAGGCTGAAAAAAGATATTAGTTTACTTTTGAAAGGCTAAAATGCATTAAGTGGTTCCGGCCTACCCTCAGAAGGGAGACGGATGGATAGGGCATGTTTTGAATAAATTGAATATAATAATTCTTACATGCTTATGGTCTACCTGTGATTTTTTCTCTTCAAGTTTAAATTTTCATTGTCACTCCACCCTACCTTATTAGAACAAAAATAATTCTACATTTTCTGAGGAAGTTTCATTATATATGTCACCAACTTTGCTTTTCTTGAGAAGAAGATTTTTAAAGATTTTTCCTATACACTAGCATATAATACTTGATCGAGGCCTAACCCTACCACCGAGGTTATGATTTGATCAAACTTGAATCTCCACCACCGATAATGCTTTCACATAAATATGATCAATCATTGCTTCGCTGTTCTTGTGAAGATTTTAAAAGATTTTCCTTTATATTCCTACAAAAACTGTGATCGGTCATTGTTGCCCCCACTCTACCCTTTGGGGTCATTGTTTAAACAAAAATTGAATCTACACTACCTGATAATGATTCCACATGAGTTTTATCTTTCATGGCCCATTGGTTCTTGAGAAAAAATTTCAATGATGACAATAATTGTTTGCAATTTCGTAATTATGTTCCCTTGGAAGAGAGCGTGGTCATTCATTTGAAGAAATCTAAATCCCCTTCTCTCAGGGTTCTCTTTGCCTAGTTTGATTGGAACTGGCAAAGTACTTCTGGGGAAGAAGATGAAATTGTAAAATGTTAACAAAGACAACGCCAACAACGACGACAGACAACGGACAAATTTTGGTCAGAAAAAGCTCACTTAATTGAGCCTTCGGCTCAGGTGAGCTAAAAAGTGAAATATAGATTTCCCAAACATAAAGAAATCGCATGAGTGAGACCATTATGAATGTGTTTTGAGCCACACAAAAGCCCTTCATCGACCATTTAAAGGTTTCAATTTTTTTTCATTCACAAGCTTAAGAGGAGTGCTTCACGGTTTGATTTATAGCACAAGCTATACTTTGGTCATTATGAACTCAAAACCAAAGAAGGTTAAAGTTTACATAATCAAGATATATTTTATTTTGAAAAAAGGAAAATGTACAGGGCAGCATTTGCATTTCGAGAGAAATATTAAAAGTTTGTAGTTAACTAGCAAGTTAATGTGACTCGTTTTTATATTAATCATATTAGTGTTTACATAAGTCATGAATGAGGGAAATATGCACGTTGAAACATGTGGTGTGCCGAGAGAAGTGCCGTATTTTGATATTAAAGGGACATGGACACATTTTCAACCGATTTTAAAAACAAAAACAAATTTTTATTTTACAATTTCTAACTACGGTAATTCTAATGATAAGCAAAACTTTGAACATCATTTGTTGATTTACAAAGAAGATAATGAACAATGCATGAAGTAATTGTCACCCTGAAAAAAGTTATAAATGTTAAGAATAAGAATAACCTGCTGTTGGTATGATTAATTGATTCTTTGTTGATTTACATCCCCCATTATTTGATATCTTTTACTGGTGAAGGATTTCAAAATTAGGCATTTATTCGGCATGCACAGGCTAACAGGGCAGTAAGGGTTCTTTATCGTTCAAATGGTTACTGTAGGACGTGACCTTGGTTTATCAATCTTACAGTCTTGAAGTTATCGTAATATTTACAAGATCAGTCACTACCTATGTTTAGAGTTTTGGGGTTTAAATGCGGTGCCGTTATTATAAAGAATTGTTAAAAACCAACTCGGGGTGTGTGTGTAATATATTTCAGTATATATTTAAAAAGTTTTGAAATCAGACTCAAGATCGATAAAATTGGGTTAAATACTGTAAAATCAATTTTTTTCGTGGGGTCAAATTTTCTAGGTTTGAGGAAAAAATATTGCTTTGTCTCCCCATACCTCGTAATCAACGAAAATAACCCCCACGAAAATTTGTGATTTCACATTAGATGAAATTTTATCACTAACCCCCCAAACAGCATAAAACAAATATGAAAATGAATCGTCGGTTACAATTACACATATATATTCATTTTGGGTTAACGAGGTTAGTTGGGGAATGTTGGGATACAATTAATGTGGTCTTTTCCCTTAATATATGCAACCATTTGCTAAACATTAGGACACAAAACTAGGTCAGTGTTCCTTTATGAAAAAAGTCTGCTAATCTTTATTTGTTTTGCTCTTTTGTTTGTCAAAGATTGTTCACCCCTCCTACCACAGTAAGGAAACTAAATTCAATGACTTTAGTTTTATTCTTCACATTATTTCGTTAACTGAAATATGTTCAATTCGAAATGCAAAATTGACGCAAAACACGTAGAATGTAAGAATTTTTTTTAGAATACAAATTATTGAAATAATTACTAAAGGGAGCAAAAAAATCTTTAAATGCAGACCTTTTGTAAAAGTTTGTCTTTGTATAGTAAATATTTTGCATATTATTGACACAAGCCAAGGTTAATATTTCTCTTTATTACTAGTATATACTTAGTAATAAATACAGGAGTTTTGCATATGAGATATGCTTGACGTCTAAAAAGCAGTCACGCACTTTAATGCATATATACCATTTCCTATTTCTAACATAAAATCACGAAAATACCGTTTCCCCTCAATCACGCATTTTAAGTTAATATTCAATTTAACATGTTTAATGCCAATTCCCATTTTTGAATTCTTGCTAAAATATCATAAAATAAAAAAAAATTATAATCTCATAATATTACGGCTTAATTATTTATGCTAAATTTTAGAGAAACTTGTGCTGGGCTATAAGGTGCTTACTAGGAAAGGTTACGTGTATGTTGCGTCATAAATATTTCGGTAAGTTGTACATGTTGTAAAGCGTTAACCTCAAAAACAGTACTTGTGATAATACACATTTTTCATAGTACAATTCCTCTTAAGTTTTACTTTTTGATTGTAAGGATCATTTTTACTTGACAAAAGATTGTTTCCAACTACAGATCGGGCACGTTTTTAAGTTGATATGTACTATATTTTTTACTGCTAAGTATGTCATAAACATATAATCATAAAACAACATACCCTTTTGCACTTCAGGTCCTATGTCAGCCCAAGACACCAATATCAGCCAATATACTATATATATATATATATCGGTGGAAGGACACAGAACATTTTATTTGAATCAACAGGTTAGGCTTCGGTATATTATCAAGACTGTCTAAGGCTGAATGTATCCGCTAGAACTAAAACCCAATGTATTTTTTAAATATAAAAACTTTAAACACACCAATATTGATTTCCATCAAAAGCGATATCATTGGGTTAAAATGAAAATATATGAGTTATGTATGAATCGCTTCCATTTTTTTTTTTTTGTTTGGAAAAGATTTTGATTTCAGACCATGATATTAAGTTTTTTACAAAGAGAGAGGAAAGAGTAATAACTTATAATCAGAACCTAGAATTTATTATAAGAGGAGTCTACTAGTATGAATCTAACAATTATTGCCAAACCTCCTAAATCCATCCAAGATAACGTCATTGAATTCTGCTTCCTTAGTCAGAATATCACTGGGATGTAGAACTGAATGTTTACATGTAAGAAAAGAATGCACGAAATATGGAGAGAACAAAAGTCCATCAAAACAATAGAAATCGAGGACAAAAGCACAAAGAGACTTCTTAAATTTCAGAAACAAAAGGAAAAAGGAGTTCATGCTCCCATCGTTTATGGCAAGTTTATTGGAGTCGACTACCAACATAAGTCTCAATTATTAAACTTTAATAAATAAAGTAAATAAGTATTTGGATTTGAAAACTTCGGTACATGTAGTTATTTCTCTTATCAGATGGTTGATCTCCTTCAAAGAACATGACACTTGTCTTTTTGTATCGTATTTTACAACGTCAACCCTTTTTAAATAATAATACAATTCGGAAGTGAAATAAAGAATAACAGTAAAACGTATACTTTAATCACAAACATGTACCTATAGACCTGAATTCTGGTAATTATTTTCTACAAAATGAAATATTTAATTGAGAAAAAAGTAACCAGTAAACATTTCCCATAGGATTTATGACTGCTTCGTCAATAAAATGGATATTTGTTTTCGTGTGAGGGTCATCAGCAAATCAGAAAATGGTTCTGATTCTACATAAAAGTAGTTAAGTTGATAATAAAATGATGATACATCTCCTTATTTATGTTTTCTTGCCTGCAACTGTGTAAACACATGCATAGATTTTTTTAATGCGCGCCTCATCTTTCATAAAAATTTATAAATGATTAATTTTTTTACGAATATTTTTAACACTATCTATTCCTCGAATCATATCGGCCGCTTTTTCTGCTATCATTATTGTTGGAGCATTTGTGTTTCCAGAGGTAACATGACGCATGACAGATGCATCGACCACACGAAGATTCTGTATACCTTTAACCCTGCAAAAATAAATTACTGTTGTGACAAAAGGAAATACAAACAACTTTCTCTTTTTCTATAGATCAAATAATTTACGATATTCATATCACTCACTGATAATCCATTTAACGAATTTAAGATTGTTGAATTATACATATTCTGAATATATTTAGGAGTATTTTTGCGAGTATTACCTTAATTATGTTCTTCAGTTATATTCATTCTTTCTAGTCCAATTAAACGCAGCCTTAACATTCAGTTTACATAAGATTGAAAGCAAACAAATATTAAATTTTTAAAATAAATCTTTGTTTATCACAATTAAACAAAATATATTTAATTCTTAAAAAAGTAAATAAAATAAAATTCAAAACCTTAGTTGTGGATCAACAACAGCTGTGTGATCATCTAATGCCCCCATTCTACAAGTAGACGTTGGATGCCATACGCCAGAGGCGTAGTGCTTGATTCTACAGACCCAATACTCCTCTGAAGGGTATTGTAGCTCGTTACATGGAGGATAATACTCCTCATAGGGGTCTGATGGTGAGGCACCAATTGATCTGAATGCTTCTGTGTTAGCTAGCTTCATAAACTGTTCCACTCCTAAGTAAAAAAAATAATTTGCAGATGTGACCTGTAGACAGGGAACACTTCCATGGTACCTGATACCATCTCTGTGTATATTGTAATTGAGTTTAAACAATGTACATAAAAAACAATATTTCAAATTGAAGACTACCCAATCAAAACAACATAAATTATGAGCAAAAAATTTTATATGGGTCGTAATTTTGCTAATATTGAATAATAAGAGCCTTTTTGTTCAACTACATAGCGCTCAAGAGATGTTTGACCGGTCAACAGCAACAACAACAACAACAACAACTAGAGGCATATGAATATAATGGCAGTGTTAATGTTTTGCTGTGGGAGACCCAAAATACGCGTCAGATCAAAAGGTTAAATAGAAGATACACAATGGCATTATGTAATAAAAATTCTGTGAAAGTTTCATTAAATTTCATTCAGTGGTATGATAGAAGTTGCGGATAAGAGATGGGTACCCCAAAGCGTAACAGACGGACGGACATACCGATTACTATATACCCGCCCGCTTTCAAGCTTTGCAACTTAATTAGTGATGTTTACGTAAAAGAAAGCATTCAGATCACCATGTACATGTATATAGTAATCATGTAATCCATATCATTCATTGGTTTGAATGTAATCATTTTTTTTCAACGAAGCAAAGTTAATACATGTTACAAAGTTTTACATTCTCCTTTTCATTCAGCATTTTTTGAATTTCATGGTCACAGTGACAATAACGGATTTCGAATTCACAATTAATCATGATCAGAACATGTCCTCGAGTACCCATCAGTTGGCAGACATGGCCACAATATACAGGTGACTGTTAAAAGATCAACAACAGCTGTGTGATCATCTAATGCCCCCATTCTACAAGTAGACGTTGGATGCCATACGCCAGAGGCGTAGTGCTTGATTCTACAGACCCAATACTCCTCTGAAGGGTATTGTAGCTCGTTACATGGAGGATAATACTCCTCATAGGGGTCTGATGGTGAGGCACCAATTGATCTGAATGCTTCTGTGTTAGCTAGCTTCATAAACTGTTCCACTCCTAAGTAAAAAAATAATTTGCAGATGTGACCTGTAGACAGGGAACACTTCCATGGTACCTGATACCATCTCTGTATATTGTAATTGAGTTTAAACAATGTACATAAAAAACAATATTTCAAATTGAAGACTACCCAATCAAAACAACATAAATTATGAGCAAAAAATTTTATATGGGTCGTAATTTTGCTAATATTGAATAATAAGAGCCTTTTTGTTCAACTACATAGCGCTCAAGAGATGTTTGACCGGTCAACAGCAACAACAACAACAACAACTAGAGGCATATGAATATAATGGCAGTGTTAATGTTTTGCTGTGGGAGACCCAAAATACGCGTCAGATCAAAAGGTTAAATAGAAGATACACAATGGCATTATGTAATAAAAATTCTGTGAAAGTTTCATTAAATTTCATTCAGTGGTATGATAGAAGTTGCGGATAAGAGATGGGTACCCCAAAGCGTAACAGACGGACGGACATACCGATTACTATATACCCGCCCGCTTTCAAGCTTTGCAACTTAATTAGTGATGTTTACGTAAAAGAAAGCATTCAGATCACCATGTACATGTATATAGTAATCATGTAATCCATATCATTCATTGGTTTGAATGTAATCATTTTTTTTCAACGAAGCAAAGTTAATACATGTTACAAAGTTTTACATTCTCCTTTTCATTCAGCATTTTTTGAATTTCATGGTCACAGTGACAATAACGGATTTCGAATTCACAATTAATCATGATCAGAACATGTCCTCGAGTACCCATCAGCTGGCAGACATGGCCACAATATACAGGTGACTGTTAAAAGATAGATACTATCAACTGCTAAATTTTATCCTCATGTAAAGTATTTAAAATAGTCTAAGAAATTAATCGTCGTAATTATTTACCTTTCAGCAATGTCTTCATATCATCTGGATGATCCAAGTAATTCGGATCTATAAGGGGTGGATCAAAGGGATCGGTACTCTGGAGGCGGATGGTTCCTCTACTCTTGGGATGAAGAAGTATATTTTCGGTGAAGAAGCTTCCTCCATTGCTGATGAAGTCCGTGTACGCTTTATATACACCCTCGGTGATCTTCAAGATTTTATAGTTGAAAATATGAGAAAACAGTTATCACCCTTTGTTTTAAAAGTATGAAATTCAAGATATGATTAGTCTTTCATTAGTTTTAATTAGTAATGCGATAATTAATGTCAAACTTTTTCTTTCTTTTTCAAAATCTATCATAAAGCATACTCTCATTCGGGTCTGATGAAACTTCTCATTAGTACTTAAAGTGAATTAGACGATCCTCTATTATATGAAAAGTTAAGTCATTTAATTTTGTTTTCTCTTTTCTGTATTTCAGACAAAATGTAAGTATAAATAAAATATTTTTAGAAAAGTTTTTTGAAAATAATGTCTATAGTCAAAGATGAAATTTTAAGTAGTTATAATTTAAAAAGTAAAAAAAAGAGGTAATTTAATAAAAAAAGGGGCATGGACACAGTTTCAGGTAAAATTTCAAATTTTTTTTTTCATTTTTTACAAATATTTAACCAGGGTCTAACTAACGATCATCACAAATTTGAACGCCTGTTGTCTAGATACAAGGTAGATTTAGAGCTCCAAACCCTTGTTATGTAAAAAAGGCTATTGTCATGTTTTTGTTTACACACTGTCAGGTATAACACAATTAGCCAATGTGTTTGGATTAAGAAGAGTTTTGTAAGTTTATAGTTTTATTATGAAGTCACAGCAAAGGTAACAAACAATGGCACTTGAAAAGTTCAATTACAAAGATCTCAGTGTGGCAAATCACAATCACACGGAAATCTTCTTTTTTATAATTTATTATGACGATTAAAGGCAAAACAAATCCACAAGGGTTAACAATCACAATACTACATTGGCTAAGATGATCAGATGGTTTCTGATATGTATTCAATATTTCTTCAATGTAAACACAATATAAAATCGATAATAATTTAAGATCACAAAAACTCTCATATATATAGTATTTAAGAAATATCTGGAAATAGAAACTTCTATAAAATTCTAGGTCATCACATTCTGACATATTCTAGAGATTTCTTGAGAATTCATTCACGAAACATATAGAACATTCTAGACTATACATGTACATCATAAAATTTCTATAAGATACATTAAAATTGCGACAATTCGCAACACTCCCAAGACAAAGGCAAGTAAATAATTAATTTAATTGTTCCTTTATCAGTTTTGTAGTTCTCTCAGCGGCCTGTCTTTTTGCTCTAGGTAACGGAGGAATAACATCGACTGCTGGCTCTTCCTTCGTCGTATCACTATCACCAAGGTTAGATTTATCGGTGCATTCTATAGGATAAAGTAAATTTAACGGTCGGTTTAATGATCTTTTGTTAGGTAACATTACCTTTCCGGACCTGTATTGTCCATCTTGACTCATTGTCAAATCGCAAATTCTTCCAATCTTCCAGCTTCCTCTAGGGAGTTCTTCTTTGATGAGGACAGCATCACCAATTCTTACCGGCCTGTTGTCTTGAATTCGTTTTCCTTTTAATTTATAGGATGTTCTTTCTCTTAGACTTAAAAGATACTCATCTCTCCATGTCTTCCAGAATGTATCTAAAAGTCGTTGACCTTTTTTCCAAATTGCCAGTAAAGTGTTTACAGAGCTTGCAACAGGTACATAGTCTGGGTCCATGGGATCAAAATTTTCACCATCTTGAAGTCCTATTTTTGGATTCAAAGTGAGGAAATGCGCTGGAATAAGGGTGATGTTTGAATTAATATCGTCTCCAATATAGACTAAGGGTCTCGAATTCACGACTGCTTCAGCTTCTGCAAGCATCGTTCTCATTTGCTCATTTGTTAAACAGAGTTTTCCTATAGTTTTTCTTAAGCATCGTTTGACAACACCAACCAGACGTTCATAAAATCCTCCCATCCATGGTGCCAGTTCCACAATAAATTGCCACTGAATCTCTTCATTTGCAATATAACTTTGGACATCATTATCAGACGTAACATTTTCCCAACTTTTATCCAAAACCAGGCTTGCAAGTTTGAATTGAGCACCATTATCAGAGATAATTTGTTTTGGCTTGCCCCAACGCGCAATAAATCTCCTTAGTCCTAGGAGAAACTGTTCTGTGGACATGTCCTGCATGAGTTCAAGATATATGGCCCTTACTACCAAGCAGGTAAATAGACAGACCCATACCTTTTTATTGCCAGTTTCTGTTTTGATGAAGATTGGTCCAAAGTAATCCACTCCCGTGTATGTAAATGGTGATGATTCACTCACACGTTTCTTTGGTAGTGGAGGCATCAGTGGCATCTTGTATGGACCACCCTCAAACCGCTTACAGATTGTGCATTTATGAAGTATTCATTTTACTTCTGCTCTTCCCTGCGGCATCCAGTAGTCTTGACGAACCAATGACAGTGTTTGGGAGACTCCAACATGAAATGATTTTTTGTGGATGTAATCAATAATCAGTCCCGTCACATGGTTCTTTCTTGGAAGGAGGATGGGAGTTCTTGCTCCTTCTGAAAGCTGAGCATCCTTGAGTCTACCAATGCATCTGATGATTCCTTCCTGATCCAATACAAGTCCTAATTGACTAATTAAATTATTTCTCTTATTTTCCTTGAGTGAGGTTTTGACATCACCATAGTTTTGAGTCTGGATATTCTTGATTATAAGAATTTTAGCATTCTGTAGTTCTGAGTAAGTTAGATGGTTTTATGGCATTGGCATTTTCTTCACTCTTTTCATAAACCTAAGAGTCCATGCTAAAACTCGAGTAAGGTTTATAAATGATGAAAAATTTTGGTAGTCAATGATGTTTGCATATCCAGTTGATTCAGAATCTGAGTTGTTATTTCTTCCGTTAGGACTCTCCCCAGCCACCAGTTTTGCTTCATAAACTATCTTTGGAGTCTTGCATTCTGATTCTATGACACTCTGCATTTCTTTACAGGTTTGTTGACTGTTCCATGAAGGCCAATAGTCTTTCCTTTTAATTAATCATTCTGGACCATTCCACCATTGTTCAAATTCTTGAAGAGTTTTAACTGCTGTTCCTCTGCTTGCAATATCAGCTGGATTATCCTTTGTAGACACATATTGAAAAGTGATATCTTTGTTGTTTCTGATTTCTTTTACTCTGTTTTCCACAAAAGTTTTAAGAGGTTTCTTCATTTTTATCCAATGTAATACACATTGGGAATCGGTCCAAAGGATCTTTTCTGTGACAGGTAACTTCAGTTGTTGTTCAACAAAGTTAATGCAGCGGACTCCAATGACAACAGCCAATAGTTCCAATCTAGGCAGTGTTATTTTCTTGAGTGGCACTAATCGAGTTTTTGAAAACAACAGGTTAACAGTACTTCTTTCTTTTTTGCTCTGGTGTAAATAGACCGCACAGGCGTACGCTTTAGTTGATGCATCACAAAAGCACATTAATTTGTATGTCACTGTACCAGTGAGTCCTATAAAACGAGGAATAGGGCAATTGGGAATATCATCCAGATCTGCGGATATATTTTCCCAGCGTTGAATGTCTTCTTTGGTCAGTTCTTCATCCCACTCTTTCTTTTGATTCCATAATGTTTGTAGAAACAACTTTGTTTTCAAAGTAACTGGGGTGAAGAATCCAAGTGGATCAAAAACAGAAGCAATTCTTTGAAGGACTTTCCTCTTGGTGATAGGTGGAATATGAGTTTCATCTTTTGGACTGTTTATGAATAGGGAGTCCAAGACAAACCAAGAATTTTTATGGTTTCTCTGTTTGCTTGATCAGCTTGAGGAATACACTGGCTAAATTCTGTGGAGTTAGATGCCCAGTCTCGTAAATTCATTGACATGGTACTGAAGATCTCTTTGGTGTCTGTATATAGTTTCCTAGCCTCTGAGACGGACTCTACACCAATGATAACATTATCCACGTAAATATTGCTTCTTATGTTTTCAGTTGTTGCAGTGTTGTAGTTTCCAAGATGGTAATCTAAAGTTGCAGCTAATAGAAAAGGGCTTGATATAACTCCAAATGGAACTCTCGTAAATCTATATACTTGAATATTGTTATCTGTGGATGGAGTTTCCATATCCTTTAACCAAAAGAATCTTGTCACATCTCTGTCCTTTCCTTGTAATTCAATCTGTAGAAATGCCTTTTCTATGTCAGCAATAATTGCAATCCTTTTCATTCTAAATCTCAACAACAGTCCACACAAATCATTTAGCATCACTGGTCCTCTGTAAAGACACTCGTTAAGGTTGTTACACTCTGGTTTGACCTTTGCCGATGCATCATAGACGATCCGTACCTTTGTGGTAGGCTTTGTTGGATCAATGGCAGCATGATGGGGTATGTAGTGTTTGACACTATTCTTCACTTCACTGCTCTTTGTCACCTTTTCAATTATGCCTTGCTTGCACTGGTCCTGAATTATTCCATCATATTGGTGAAGCAGCTCAGGGTTCTTTTTTAGTTTTTGAAGTAGAGATTTCAACCTTCCAAGAGCAAGTTCTCTGTTCTCTGGGAGTTCAGGTTGCTCATCCTTCCAGGGCCAAGTGACTTGATATCTACCATTGACTAGTTTTATTGTGTCGTTAAAGTTTTTTAAAGCCTTGTCATCATCTGATGAGTGGGGCTGATCCTTGATTCCAATAGTTTCCAAGTTCCAGTACTCGTCTAATGATGGCTTCAAGGGCAAACATTCATCGACAGAGGAATGAAGACAATATTCCGTTGTTATATTGTTTCCATTTACAATCAGCATTTGGTGTAAATTATCTCTGGATACCTCAAAGTTAGCTTGTGTTCGTCCAGTGAGAATCCATCCTAACTTTGATGAGAGCAAGTAAAGTCCATGGTCAACTTCAATTTTTTCTGATGATACCAAATCAAGATAATAGTCATTCCCAATAAGGATGTCTATGGTTGAATTCTCTGTAGATTTTGGTAAGGTATCTGCAAACTGTAGATTTTTCCATTGGCACTGTACCTTTTCAATGATGTTAGGTGGTAACGGTCTTCTGTGTATTGGTCCGGTTATTTGAGGCACAACATTTGCTTCAATTC